ATTACGTCGCCACCTGATGGAAGCCACTACGTGTCTCAGGGCCCAGGCTGATGCACAGAAAAGTATTTTTGGAAAAGGAAAGGTGGATGTTTCCCTCTAAAGTCACAAACTTACGCCCTTTCAGGAAATCAAGCTGAGTTTTCTCAGAGCCAGTTTCCATAAATAAACTACACCTTCCTCTTCTGTTTAACTCAGAAGTGGCTGGTTGCAATCAAATCTAAACTGCATACACCAGCCTCTGTAGGGGTCTATATTTCTCCCTTTTTTTTCAAAATGTGTGTTACAATTATTCCAATAGTAAAACAGATCGTGAGCTCATAAAATGTCAGGTTGGGATAAACTGCACTCTGCTCTCCGGCCAGAGAGGAGCTGAGATGAAAGCAAACGTGCACCCTTCCAGGAGTCTCTTCTGGGCTCTTACACACCTGACATGGGCAGAAGTGCCAGTTGTGAATAAAGGAACACCTTCATCCCCCAGATGAGCAGCGAGAAAAGGGGCGGCACCGTCTCTAAAGAAAAAATGTTTAGCAGATGGAAGGAGGGTTTGCACAAGGCATAGAGGAGAAATCATATTCGTGAGTTATTTTCCAAAATAAAAAGTTACACAGGTGTTTCTCACAAAGCCTCAGGCTGGCTCCTCAGTTGCAAGGTTTAACTCCAGCATCCCGTGTTTGTGTAGAAGGTGCTGGAGCTAGGACCCACGGTGGCTTCCTTCCTCCACTTCCCTTCTTCCTCTCCTCTTCTCTGGCTCTCTCCCCCTTCCCCACCCATTCTCCACACAGCCCCTGGACCGGCATCACTTGCAGGTAACAGCATACTGAAGACAGCAGCTGCATCTTTACACTTTCTTATTTTCGGCATATCACAGTCCAGTATTTGTTGTGTGGTTGAATGAGTGGATACTATCCTGGTTCTAACTATGTGCGAATTATCACAGGCAGGCAGCTGGATGTTGAATCTAATCCTTGTGGACACTTTCAGTGGAGGGTCTAGTCTCTCTAACGCCCCTGCTCCCCATCGCCAATGGTGACAGAAATTCTAGCTAGCATGTGGCAGCCCATGACAGACTCATGATCCAGCTTCCTTGCAGCCTAGGTCCACCGTGAAACTAGCCTGTGGTCACTAGGAAGTGGGTGAAACCAACACAGGCAGCGTGGAGACCACGACCTTCCTGGGAAGGGGTGCCCCCTCCCTCGTGAGCCATCGTGGACCCCTTGAAGGAGGGCAGCACCCTGGGCACAAGAAATCCTGGTCTCTGATGACAGCGCAGCCACCCTGCCCTCCCGGCCTGTTGGTGACATGGGCAAGACCTGCATGTTCTGCTCACTCGCCGGAGCCTGTGATGTGGGGTCTCTTACCCGCATCCAAGCCTACATCATAAGCGATGCAAGGCTTCCGCTGTCAAAGGAATGGGCGCCCATCCAAAGTGAGTAGGGCTTGACGCCTGTAGTTACTGAGCTCTGGGCTGCTTAAGACACACTGGATCGGAAACCCTGCAGGTGATACAATGAACCTCTGACAGCGGGGACGGCAGTGTATCGATACCGCCAGTGTGGACGCATGGAGAGTGGACACAGTCCTCCTGCTGGATATCAAGTTCATGGGGGGAGGAGGGCCCCTGGGAGGCCCCCATGAGCCCCTAACCCTAACATACGGAAACAGCTAGGGACGAAGGGTTACAGACTGCAAACGCTTTTGGAGTTACTGTGTTTGAGACCCAAGTAAAATCGGTTCTTCTTGTTTCTGGAGAGTTTCTCCTATGCTTGGTCTGCATTCTCCTTCACTACTGAACTGCTTTACGAAAGGTTACTCAAGGCACACCCTGATTACTATTCTCCAAGGACATGATGTCCCTGGTCCACGGCCAAGGTTAAGGGTTTCCACTTCTCAAGGTTCCTACTTCTCCAAATAGGAAGATTTAATGAAGATCGGCCAGAACCCGGTAGAGCAATCTTCCCTGGGTCTCCAAACCTCCAGCCTCTGAAGGCTGCATAGAACACAAAGGGTGCATGAGCCCAGAGTCACCCCCGACATGACTGCCCAAGAATCTAAACCTCCAACCTGCCATCACTGAAGACATTTTCCTCACTTTCTCTATACTTTGTACACATGTATTTCTTCTTCAACACATGTTGAGGACCTTGTTTTAAACTATCCTGGGTAAGTTAGTACTGCCAGAAATCTAAGAATGTCCACATTAACATTTGTGTAAAATAATCCAAGCTTCTCTAGAAAGCTCCCTAGACAGTTCTCATGATTTATTCTAGGGTTTCACCCTCCTCCCAGATAGTCTGCAGAGTTCTAGCAGAAAGATTTCAAAATCTGCTTCTATCTCCTATGTAGCCTCTTCAGAGTGTATTCAGAACTGGCTTACTCCTTTCTCACCCCAAACTCTGTAGACATCTACCTACTTTGCAAAACGTGGGCTTCCCCGATGGCTCAGTGGGTAAAGAATCCACCTTCAATGCAGGAGACGTGGGTTCAATCCCTCGGTCGAGAAGATCCCTTGGAGAAGGAAATGGCAACCCACTCCAGTATTCTTGCCTGGAGAACTCTATGGACAGAGGAGCCTGACGGGCTGCAGTCCGTGGGGTCGCAAGAGTCGGACACAGCTGAGCGACTAAGCACACACATCACACACCAGTGATAACAGAGCTGCTCTCTGACTCCGACGCCTTAAATTGAATGCAAAGAAGTTGTGTCTTAAGGCACTTACCTGCACCCAGGGCTGCAGGCGGCACCCAGGGGCTCTGAAAACCAGGAATCAGAAGCAAACTAAATAAAATCATGCCTTCCTGCCAGGCAATCCCCTGGTGGCTAGATCTGCAAAACAGCAGGAAGGGGAGGGAACACGTGAGCATAAGACCTCTTGGAAGAACTTCAAAAACTGAGGCAATGCTCGAGTCCGCCGTCATCCAACACCACCACTTACTTCAGCTGATAGAGCTCCTTCTTTCCTCCTCTTTCACTGAGAGAAGGTGAGGTGGCTTCCGGGTGGGCCTGGAGGGAGGCGTCCCCAGCAGCCTCCTCCCCTTAGAGAGACCTTTGTGCCTTTGCTTTCTTTGTGCGGCTCTGAGGCGACCTTGGGTCAATCATGAGCCAACAGAACTGAAACAAAGATGGTACCATTAGGCCTCCTTCAAGACCCTGGACGCTTCGACGCGACATCGCTTATCTCGGTCTCCCCGCCTCCATGTAGTTCTTGTCAGTGTGGGCGCTTGTGTGCCTAAGACACCTGTCCTCGTCACAACACACGGGCTTTCCTGGTGGCTCAGCAGTAAAGACTCAGCCTGCAATGCGGGAGACCTGGGTTCGATCCCTGGGTCAGGAAGATCCCCTGGAGGAGGGCATGGCAACTCACTCCAGTATTCTCGCCTGGAAAATCCCATGGACANCTCAGCCTGCAATGCGGGAGACCTGGGTTCGATCCCTGGGTCAGGAAGATCCCCTGGAGGAGGGCATGGCAACTCACTCCAGTATTCTCGCCTGGAAAATCCCATGGACAGAGGAGCCTGGCTGGCTACAGTCCATGGGGTCACAGAGTCAGACATGACTAACACTTCTTCACCACACGTGTGCACGTGTGCACACACGCACACAGCACTAAGAACATGCATGCGTGCATGCTAAGTCGCTTCAGTGTTAACCCTATGGGCTGTAGCCCACCAGACTCCTCTGTCTATGGGAAGCCCCAAGAACAACATGGTGAAACCTTTTTTCCAATCCCATATAATCAGATTCCTCTTTTCCCGTCAGTCGATGAATGTTGATTTCTGACTTAAAAATAACATCAAGAGAACAAATGCCCCAATGCTCTTTCTCAGAGAACAGCTCTGAGGGCTCCCCTTTGGGGTCTGCTGGGGCCCTGCCTCCTGCCCCAACCCCCCAGGAAATGGGCAGTCCCTGAAGTCCTCCCAGAAGCCAGACATTTGCTCCCTTGTCACAGGACACATGCTGCATTCTAGTGATGCTCTGAGTGCTTGTCTCCGGACAACATGCCCCACTGGACAAGCACCCGCCTTGCTGCCTCTCTGGTGTCCAGTGGGTGGGTGGGTGACTCACCTGGACCCCTCCGAGGACAGCCCTGTCCCCCAGCCTGCTCCGCCCCCCATGGGTGCCCTCCTGTGTCATTGGCACCACCCTCTGAATCCACACCCCCAGCCCATGAGCATAAGCCCCGCTTTTCAGCCTAGCCAAAGGAAGTGGGGCAGGTGGCTGTTCAGGTAGAGTCAGTGGCAGCCTCTGTGAGGACCCCTTCCTGGTGACCACCACAGCAACAGTGAGTCTTTGCTGACTTTCCCGAGCTGTGAGTTAGGGAGAGAAATTCCCTCATTTCCCCACCCCAGTGGCCTGGCTCAGTGAACATGGCTGGCTAAGCCCCTCCGGGGAAGAGCCAGCAGCTGCCTCCTGCCCCTGGGAATCAGAACAGGCCTCCTCACTCAGGTTTTGGCTTCTCCAGCCTCTTTCCAATGTTTGGGGGCTCTTCTCCAAGCCGAGTGGCTCCTCTGTTCTCTCGGAGACCTTTCTCTCCCACACTCACCCAGCCGTCTGACCAAGTCATTAACGGTGACTTTTTGCTGAAAAGAAATCTACTGGCATCCAGACAGGGAATGAGTTGTAAATCCCAGAAAGCTTCCTAGATACTCTCCACTTAAAATATGCTACACACACATACACACTCATACACACATACACATACACTCACCCCCACACAACACACACACCGACCCCATACACTAAACACACCCAAACACTATACACCCACTCATACACTCACACTACATACACACTCATACACTACACACACATGCATACACACTCACACTACACACCACCCACACCTCCCACACACATACCTACACACTACACACACACACTCTACACACCCACATACACTCACCTATACACCATACATACATATGTAATACACCCACAACCCACACACACACCAGGAAACACACACACACTCAAGTGTGTGTGTGCATTACTACATTTACTACTGCATTACTACAGTTTGACAAATTAACTTTAATATACAGATACAAAACAACAAATATAGATTCACAGCATTTACAAGAAATCATTCAAATAACATTGTAAATAAAATTTTTTTTACAAAAACTTCAGAGAAAGTACATACTTGTCGTACAAGCAATCTTATACAACACGTCAGCTGACAACAGCTATGTCATCAGTTGGGAAGCTGTCACTTGACCTCGACAGATAATACCGTCTTGATGTTGACGAGTCGGAATTGAAGGAACAGGGCCTGGAAAGCCTTGAAAAGTAAGTAAGTCAAACATGACGGATGCTGACATTTACAAAATAAAAAAATTGACCAATTGTTAAATCACAGTTACAGTATCTTCTAAATTCGTGCCAGATATCTAATAAACAACAAAGAAGGTAATGTTAAGTTTGTTGTCACTATATGTGTGTCCAGTGTTTAAGTTCCAGGTTTTTTCCGAGATCAGATGTTTTCTACACGTTATTTTCAGAGTCTCTTGGATTCCACCTTTGTTGCATACATCCTGAGAACAGCATTAGCCAGGTGACATTTTAACAGGAAGACAATTTGTAGGTTAAAATTGTTATGGGGACAACTTTAGGGCAGTCTCAGCTTGTCGTGTGCCCAGCATCCCTGGCCAGCAAGCCACGTTGATCCACACTTGTTGGCACTCAATGGTGAGGGACACGTTTGTTTCTCTTCTCCCAGACAAACATTACACACTCTGGTTTCTTCCCTGGTTCAGGTGGTTGGGCTGCTGTGTCCCAGCTGGGTAACCGAGTTGATCTGCGTGGAGAATCAGCAGTCTGGGCTTGTAGAGATTCCCAACTGATAAAGTGCTGGTTTGTGGCTTCGACCAAACATTCCTGTTGTGAAACAGGTTTTGGATTAAATGCACTTTTGCTGTGTCTAGACAGCAGGGGTGTAGGATCTGAGAGATTTTCTGAACAGGCATGGAGCTCAGCCTCTGTAGTATGAATAAAAAGGCATGGCAATATCCAGAAATGGGGTGGGGGTGGGCAGATGGGGGATGATGACGGAGATGTTTCCAACATCAGGTCCATTGGATGGGGAGAAGGGCGAAGATCAGATCAACTGAGAACACATGAGTCCCAAGAAGAGGCTGGCAAATCACGGCCGCTTCTTCCAGTTTGCAAGCCAAAGACAAGGATGCTACTTCTCCAGGGCTTTAGAAATATCCTGCTTTATGATAGCTCACAACCTATTGCAAGACTGTTCTACATTTTAGGCTTCATCAAAACTGAGAATGCTGCTTTGGACCTGAGGCCATTTCCCAGGTCTTTCAACAAAGTTAGCAGAGACTTTAACATGAGTAACAGAGTAAGTGAAATTTATCACGTTATTCTATCTTTCTGGCAGGCAGGTCCACCCATATTATGCAGTGTAGGGTTAAAAAGAAAAAAAAGGCAGGACAGAGGGAGTGAGATTTCCAGAGAAGTCCATACACAATCTGGACAGGAGGCTGTTTGTTTTGACTCCCTTTCTCTCCAAGTGGGACACGCAAGGAATCAAGAAGGAAGTTTGGCAAATGTGAAAACAGTACCCTGGCCCATCTATTCTGCAGGCATCTGCTAATAAATCCAAGGCAGACACACAGATTTAAAGAGGTCAAAGGATGCTACATCCTTTGAAACGTATTTTAGTGATTTTTCAGATCACCTGGAAACCCCAGCAGGAGTCATCTAGGATGGACATCTGACCAAGCGACCGCTTGTATGGAGAGACTGGGGGGTGGGGGTGGGCAGCCTGGGGCACTGATGGCTCCTTCATCGGGAAGCCCCAGGGGAAAGAAGAGAGGGGAGCAGGGAGTTGGGGATCAGACAGGAGACAGACCAGGGCTGCCGACAGCACCTCCAACCCTTGGTCCCCATGTTCTGGGGGTGGGGGAGCTGGGGGAACTGGGGGAGGTCAGGGGAGACGAGGGCCCGCTGGGTGCTTCTGCAGTGGAGCCAAGTCCTCACTGGAAATGTAACATGAGCAACTGATTCGCCTTACTTCCTCAAAGTAATTCTCTTTTATTAAAAAAACAACCAACCAACCAAGCAACCCAACCGTCCACAACTGTCATATACACACACAACTCTGTTTAGCACAGAGTGCATGGTTTCTGCTGGAGGGCCCCACGAGAAGATTATATCATTATGCCTTGTTAGTAAAAAAAAGGTCAGTTATATAAATGCACCTAGAATGGAGATGTCTATTCGAAAAGGAAACACACGCACACACAAGGAGCCACAGCACCTCCCGGGAGGCCCCCTCACAGAAGGGGCCTTCATCCGGGATCCGGGGCCCGAGGTGCCCAGAGGGAGCACCTCCCTGGGGGGTGGCTCTGGGACCACACCTGGAGGCTCAGGTATCCCCCGTGAGGACAGCACAGGTGTGTTGATGCTCAAGCAGGGGCCTGGTAGAAAAGAGGGACTTCCGTGCTTTCGGCATCACAGAGAGATTCTCAAGCAGACAACGCCAGGGCCTGACTGGACCCCCGCCTGCTGCGCGAGGACGGGCGGCTCTCCTACTGGCACCTTTACAAGTATTTGCATCAACATTTACGACGAGACAGAGGCAGGGGGGTGACCGCCGACAGGTGTCAGCCGCGTGGACCTCGCTGGAGAAGACTGCTCTGTCTGGACCTGGATCTGTTTTGTCAGGTCCCTTTCATAAGAAACACATCTTCAGAAACCTATCGACGTGTGCATCACCACACAGCTGGCACTACTGCTGGGGTACATGTGACAAATGGAGGAACGTGCGGGAAGTGGGACCCTGGAGTGCCCTGCATTCGCAGCAGCAGAAGGTCCATCTGTGTCACTGTTGCTGGATCAGGAAGGACAGACAGACAGGCACCGGGTGCTTTCTGAGCTGCTGTGCCTACACGTTCACTTTATGGTCAAACTAAGGGGAACAGGGTTTCTGTTGCAAACGCATGTGTGTGAGTAGGTTCGTGAGTGCCGCCCAGGGGGTGGCACGCGGGCGAGGACCTGTGTACACAGGGAGCAGCAGGTCCCCCTCCCTGAAAGCCTCCGTGTCTCTGGGGCGCACTGGTCTGTGCACCTCGGACCCTGGACCGCATGCAGGCGCCGCCCTGATCTCCCTACCACCAGACATGGATTCGGAAGACGCCAGGGCACCCTGGGACCCCTGCGGGGCTGCAGCACCCCTCCCCCGCACTAGAGGAGAGGGACAGCCCCTGCACTGCCCGCCCCTTCAGGACGGAAGGCCAGTGACCCAACCCTCCTCCTGCTCCTCCGGGAGCACAGCGTCCTCGGCCCCGCCCCGAGCCCGGACCAGCTCGTCATCAGCGATGCTCCCGGGGCCCCGCCCAGCATCACTTCGGAGCCGGAGGGGGCAGCCGGGCCTCTGCTTCCCCAGGCGGGGCCAGGTCCTGTTCTCGGCTGGAGCGGGGCCCGGGAGGCCTCTCAGCACCGGGTCCCCGGCCGCTGCCCCCCGCCCCCCCCGTCACTTCCTGAAGGGGGCGAGCTTGTTGAAGGTGTGCCAGAAGAGCGACGGCTTCCTCTTGGGCTCGGCCAGGGCGAACACCTGCTGCTGCGGCAGGCTGCTGGGCACAGTGACGTGGCGCTGGTGGACCGGCCGCAGGCTCTGGAGCGGGGGCGCCGCGGGGCAGCCGCCGTAGCCTGGGGCGGGGGTGCAGAGGGAAAGCCACTCAGGTCACAGGTCAGCCCAAAGCGAAGAGCTCCCCCGCGTCCCCTGGCCGACCTGCAGTCCCATTTCCCAGGAGGACCCCAATGGCCGTCCAACAAACCCACTCAGATGCTGCGTGCTGGACACAGATGGCCTCCCCCCGAGGCCTCACCTAAACCCCGTCCCCGGACCGCCCCGAGAGGCCCCGAGGCCGGGAAGGAGCCGGAAGCCGGGAAGGAGCCGGAAGCCCGGCACTGGCGGGGCAGGAAGTGGACGCGGCGTGGGGGGAGCAGCGGTGAGACGCGCTCGGTGAGAGCCCGGCGTCGTCCGCTCACCGCCAGCTGGAGGCGTTACTGGGTTTCTCTGAGCCTCGGTTTTCCAGTCTCGGAGACAGGGGGGTACAGTGCTCACCGGGGGGGTTATGAGAGTTGGGTGAAGGCAAGTAATGTGCTTAGAATCGCACCGATGGCTCATCAAAATAACTAGAACTGTTTCTCTAGAGCCGGCATTTTAAACCTGTGCACCGGTGGTTGGAAGTGAAGTGAAGTCAAAGTGGCTCAGTCGTGTCCGACTCTTTGAGACCCCATGGACGATACAGTCCGTGGAATTCTCCAGGCCAGAATAGTGGAGTGGGTAGACGTTCCCTTCTCCAGGGGATCTTCCCAACCCAGGTCGCCCACACTGCAGGCGGATTCTTTACCAGCTGAGCCACAAGGGAAGCCCACTGGGAAGCCACAAGGGAAGAACACTGGAGTGGGTAGCCTATTCCTTCTCCGGCGGATCTTTCCCACCCAGGAATCTAATTGGGGTCTCCTGTGTTGCAGGCAGATTGTTTACCAACTGAACTGAGGTGTAATAAATCAGCTACAGGACCACAAGCTGACTGTGATGGTCAGCAGGAGAGGGCAGAACAGGGGTTCTGGAAGATGGGCTCTGTTCACAGGCCTCCCTTGTCCCCTGGCAAGAGAGAGAGGACAACAGGAGGGAACTCAGGGAAGGGGCGACCCCGGAAACCTTAGGGCTCCTCCCAGCTGGCCGCCCTGTGGAGAATCCCTCTCTTGCCACCCATGCCTCCACAGGCTCAGGGGGCAGAGGTGGGGGCCTATAAGCCCCCCCGCCCCAAGTTAAACCATCTTACAGACGCCTCTGCAGATGGGAGCATGCACTGAAGTCCGTTCAGAACCAAATGCAGGTGGTTTTAAACCATCCGTTGCTTTGATACATCATTCTTTTTAACTCACACTTGTCTCCCACTCAGTGGGTCACACTCACGTCACAACCTCAGGCATTTCTCCCCATTTTAATTCCAACACTGACACACACACACTCTGAAACTCACCTTTTGACTTTCCGTGTGCTGCCTTTTGAGCATTTAACATGGCAAGTTTCTTCTGATTTTCCGAAATTTCCATTCCTGGATTTAGACACAAATGTGGTATGTATTCAAAACTCATGAAAACATTTCAGGATAAAACTTGCACCAAAACCCATGTTAACCCTGAGGTCCTCTCTACAACCAAAGCAGAGAGCCTCAACTGTTGAGGAGGCAGAAGGGGCCGAAGAGGGCGGACAAGGAGGAGGGCTATCACCTGGATGGCCACACCACCATTTCCCACACCGGGACCCCATGCAGAGCCACCACTTGTGTAAACCCAGATGGACAGACACACAGGGCCTCCCTCACTGTCCCCCCACAAGGAGGGTGCTGGGGGAGGCCGGACCACAGGCCCTGTGAAAGCTTGGCTTCATCCCAAGCAGAGGTGACGTCTGAGCCAGGGGTGCTGGTTCCTGCACCCTGATTGCACATCACGTGGACAAGGGCCAAGGGCAAGACTGAGTGGGGCCAGGTGGCTGTGCTGTTCTGGGCAGGCCCTCCACCCTGAAGCCAGAGACCTATGCAGCTGGCCGGCCTGGACCCACTACCAGGACCCCCTCTACCTTGTGCAAAGGTAGAGTGTCCTGGGCCTTGGTCCCTCAGCATACCTGACTCCCGTCCTGACAGGCCCTAGGGTCCCCTCCAGGCTCTGGACCCCAGGCCCACCCAGCCCTTCACCTCCTTCCCGCTCTCCACACCTGCCTGGTTCATGGCGCCAGGATGCATCCAAGCAGGAGACACCGGGCACATGCAACTGGCCAGGCAAGGTCGGGGTACCTATCTCAACCCACACACGCTTGCCGGCCCCTGGGGGACACATGTGTTCTTCCCCCTCATCCGCTCATCCACCCATCCCTGTCCCCCAAGCCCCAGCTACAGGAAGCATGGCTGTGCCAAGAGGGGTACGGTCAGGCCCGTCCAGGGCAGAGCTGAGAAGCGGTCACTGCTCTGCCTGACTGGTGAGACCTGGGAGGCCTCCCATGGGTGAGAGTCTCCACGGTGGACTCGTGTGAGTCAGGGGAGACTGCTGAAGCCCCTCCTGGTTTCCAGGCAAGCTCCCCTCATGGCAAGATCCCTGAGGTCTGGGACTCCGTGGGCTGCAGACACCTCCCTTCACCCCACCGTCTCTGGGGCTCAGGCCCTGTCTCCATGTGGCCATCTGCGCTCAGACCCCGGCCATGCACAGGGGTGGCTCTAGGCTGGGCTTGGAGACCTGGGTGTAGCGGGGTGGGACGTCATAAATACCAGGCCTGGCAGCTCCAGCCTGGGGGAGTGGGAGCGGAAAGACAGGAGGGGGCTGGGCAGGAAGCAGGGCTGCCCTAGCAGCCCTGAGCTCTGGGGCAGGGAGGGGGTTGCTGGGCCCGGACGGACGGGGCTTCAAGGTGGATGCACGGTGTGTGATGTGTGGAGCAGAGCTGGAGAGCAGATGTCAGGCTTCCTGTGCCTCTCCTGGTCTGGGGCAGGGGGGAAGTTACAGGCTTGGGGGGAGTGTTAAACTCTACCGGCCATGCTCTAAGCTAAGAGCAGGCAGGGCCCTGGGCCTCAATTTCCTCATCTGTGAAATGGGGACAACCACTGGACCCACAGCACCTTGCCTGGTCAGTCTTGTCAGCAAGTTCAGGAACACGAGGACCTGCGGGTGGTTCCCCAGCCTCCTCCCCGTGGGGGTGAGCGGGGCCCCAGGCTCACCCAGCGCCCGGTCTTCCTGCACCCGCCGGCGCTCGTCCCTGAAGGCCTGCAGCCACCGCGCCTTGTCCTCGGGCTTCCTGGCGCAGAACAGGTGCACCTCGTCGCCCGTCGGGCTGACCAGCCTGAAGGCGTTCCTGAGGCCCGGCCCGCGGGCGCCGTCGCGGCCGTCCTCCAGGTCCACCAGCTCCACGGCGTCCGTGTCGGCGCGGCCGCGGTAGTAGAGCACATCCCTGCGCAGCAGGTCCTTCTTGCAGAACACCAGCTGGTGGTCGAACAGGAAGAAGGTGCGCTGCTGGCTCTTGCCCTGCCGCGTGACGCTGGTCAGCTCCCCCGAGTGGATCAGCTCCGAGCTGCGCTCCAGGAGGTCCTGGCCCTGCGGGCAGGGATGCAAGCACGTCTGAGGTTGCCCGAGGGAAGGTCTCCTCCAGGTGCCGGGGGTACAGGGGGGCCCTGGCATGAACCCTCTGCAGGCGGCCAGGTACATGGGGCCCACGTGTGGGGCAGGCCCCCAAAGGCCGGTCAGACCTCGCTGACAGCCTCCTCAGGTGGGGAATTTCTTATCTTTCAGACTCCATGAGAAAATGTGAGCGAGCCCGTGTACCACCTAAGGGGTCCCCTCTATCAGAGAGACCTGGTGAAAAATGCTGGGTGGAGGGACCCCACCGGGAGCCAAAAGGGTGGCAGGCCTGGACGGACCCTGAGAGCGCGGGGGCCCCTTGCGGCTGGGCGCTTAAGCTGCAGGCAGGGGGCTTCTGAGTCAGGCAGCAGCTCCCCGCCCAACCAGCTCAGGGCCTCAGAGACAAAAGGCCAGGTGGCACGATGCCAGCAAGAAACTGGTAAGCTTCTGACAACAAACCGTCCCTGAGACATCAGAGTGCAAGGGCAGGAGGAAAAACATACTTCTGTAGTATTTAGTTTGGATCTAACCCAACATAACTTTACACTATTTGCTATGATACTGGCCTTTAACATTTTATTCTCCCTTGATCCCAGTTATACACAGTATTTTTGGAGGCAAAGGATCCTGACTGTGAAATACTAGCCTGCAGGGATTCTGTGCCCCAGCTTCCTCACTCACGGAACAGGAGGCTGAGACCCAGGGACTGTGAGCACCTTGAAATACTATTTCTCTCCAGCGCTCACTGCTGTCACCCACTTTAGTTAAAAAAGTTCCACTTCCTCACTGCTTGGGGAGAGTGAGTTCTGACAGCTGATCAGAGGCGGGACGCCCCCTGCTGGATCTCATAGCCATCTGCACGTCATGGGCTTGTCCTTGGTGATGGCCAGGTGCCCATTCTGCTCCCTCACCTTTCTGTGCCTCGGTTTCCCCGTCTGTTAAATGGGCTAATAATAGTTCCTACTCCCCAGGATTGTTGAGAGGATTAAATGAGTTCATATATTTAAAGGGCTTATACCAGAGCCAGACGTGTGAATCCAGTACAAGTCCAAGCTTTAGCTGCTGTCACTGCTGTTTTTATAAATAAAAGCGTGCTTGTGTGTGTGTGTGTGTGCACGCTGGACCACCACTCAGGCTGTGTCAGTGCTACACTGCACCGCCTCACATGGTCCTCACCAGCCCTGCAGGTAACACCTCTCCTACCAGCCCCCCACCTTACAGATGGAACATCCTTCTCACCCAGATCACAGGGGACATGCACTCCCACCTCCACACAACCTGCTGCTCTAGGAGCGCTCTCCAGCCGCCCTCATGGAGCCCACCATCAGGCAGGAGGGAAAAAGGGTATACCCAATAAACTGATTATTGGGTACTCTGAAGACACTCTTCAGGGTACTTCCCAGTGGAGGTGAAGGGTCAAGCATTTGACTGCTAACTTCAACAGCGTGAATCAAAACATCACACCATGGAAGCCAAGAGCAGAGGGAACCTATCACAGGTTGTAAAGCGTGTCATCCCACCAGGGGACCACAAGTTGGGGGTGGAGGGGGGTTCGGTGCTGAGGGTGGCGGGCTCCAACGTACCTCCCAGCCCACGATGGACACCTGCCAGCGCGCGATCTTGTCTATGCTTTCCAGCTTGCGTTTCCGCTCATTGATCAGGCAGGCGACGTTCTTCATGGCCTCGTACGCTGCCTTTATGTTGTCGTAATCACTGCAAGGTAAGGGGTTAATTTTAACCATGTAACAGGCGACGGGCAAAGGAGGACCCATGAAGCAACACGCTCCACCCCTGATTGTACACTGACAGCCTAGACAAGATGGCCTCTAAACAACAGCCGTTGTTCCTCTGTGAGTAGGCTACAGTCCGCGTAGGCTAAGGGGGCCGATCAAATGCCAGCAGAATTTTCTGGAATAAGAATGTCATCAGTTGTTTCCCAGAAACCACAGTGAATGAAAGCAGAAGCCACAAGAAACAAGTTTTAGTCACAGTGACGAGGGGTGGTTTTCATTAACAAAGACGGGACAGGCCTCTGTTTTGGCTCTGGTCCACACAGAGCTAGTCTTCCCTGTAGAGTTCTGTGACGGTCACCACTCATTCCAGGAGTCCTGATTGGCTGAGCCTCGTCTTACATGGGAGGACATGAGTGAGTTGTGTAAATGCTGACTGGCATTTCCTGTGTCCAAGCACCTTCATTTCTGGTGCTTTCCACACTGCAGTCAAACCAAACCGCTACATCCCCCTGCCCAGCAGCCCCTCAGACCCTGGAGACACCAGGAAAACAGAGGCTCTGATCTGCACACAGGCTGCAGGAGAGCCTGCGGGGGGCCAGAAGGGTTTACATGCAGGTCTTGTTCTGCATTAACACTTTCAGTTCAGTTCAGTCACTCAGTCCTGTCCAACTCTTTGTGACCCCATGGACTGCAGCACACCAGGCCTCCCTGTCCATCACTAACACTTTGGGGATGTGGAAAGCAGTCGCCCGGCTAAGAGCTAAGTCTTTTCCCCCAGCACTTTCCTGTGTCTTCCAGGACAGACACAGCCCCAGGGTCTCGGGTGGACTAGACTGCAGTCCTTCACAGCTAGGGACAAGCATTGGGAGCAGACTCTGCTGTTTACCAAACACTCCCCACCCCACTGAAGCTCTAATACTTTGATCACCTGATGCAAAGAGCTGACTCACTGGAAAAGACTGAAAGCAAAAGGAGAAGGGGGTGGCAGAGAATGAGGTGGTTGGATGGCATCACCGACAATGGACAAGAACTTAAGAAACTCCTGGAGATAGTGGAGGACAGAGGAACCTGGTGTGCTGCAGTTCCTCTGTTCAGAGAGTCAGACATGACTTAGCAAATGAACAACAACCCCACCCGCATCTCTAGGTAGATCAGACCCCACTGTCTTCAGACAGAAGCAGAGCAAAAAAGAAGAACCAAGTGGCACACGGGAGTTGCCAAAATAATGGGAGCAAACCCCCCAGAGAGGGCTCCAGCAATAAGGAAAGTGTGCAAAATTACTGTTTTTCTACAAATTTTTCTGTACAATTCCAGAAAAGAGGCAAAATGTAATGGTCTTTTAAAATATTTGGGTTTGTTTTAGTTCAGATGAGGAAATGGCTTTTTGTCATTTCCTTTAAAATGATTTTTTTTTTGGGTGAAACAAAGTATGCAAATGCTTCATAGTGAAAAATGCCCTTAAAAGAGAAAAATTAGTGCTGAAGGGCGATGAGTGCACCCCTGGTATAGCTTTCCCATCTTTCAAGATATTCTGCTTCCTAAGTTGCATTTTTATTTTTTCTGGTTCCTCATCATGATGTCTTTTTATTCTCTTCAAAAAGATTTCTTCTAATTTGTGACTTGCCTGACTTTGTTATCTTTTTTTTTATTAAAGTTTTCTGATTTTCCCATCAGAAAAAGAAAAAAAAAAAATCACAGCTTCTTTTTAATTTTTTTCAACAAACTCCTTCCTCTTAGTCCTTTCATCTTGATTCTTTAAACTAACATCATTGTCTGGGCATGTCGATAAGTGACCCTGCTCTTCCCTTCTACCTTCCATCTAATTGTGAAAAGCCCCCTTTCCCAGGCCTGTCTCTCCACAGGAGTCCAGTGGCCGAGGACAGAAGAATGACCCGTCCCTGCAACATACAGGGCGGGCGCTGCCTGGAGAATCTGACTGCTCTCAAGGCAACAGACAGATGTTAAGCCGAATTGGTGGTCTGCTGCAGCAAATTCTTCTAGGCACTGTCCTCTCCTGGCTCCCTCTTCCCAATGGACCCCTGTCCTTCCGAGGGCTGCAGGCAGAGGCAAAGCCTTGTGTTGCAACACAGATGTCAGGGACAAGGTTTGGTTTTCCTAAAGACAGAAGCGTTATCCTAAAGTACTGCTGGGTGACAGCCGTGTCCCCACTGGCCCTCAGCTGTAGGCTGCTGAAAACTCATGGAGGGATCATTGCTGTCAGCAAAGGGCGCCAAGCAGCCAGGCCTGTGGGGGGAGACCCTCACCCATGTCCCAGAGCTGACCAAATAGGTGACAGTTGACATTCAATCACAGTAAAATCAGACATGGTTCTGTACATGCAGGAAAACGACAAGCTGCTATTCATAAGCAAAGGATAATTTGGGGGGGGGTTCTTTCAGGAGAATTCACAAATAAGCCCCAAAGGGAGGTGGAGCGTTCAATAACCACAATCAGAAGCCCTGTGCTCAGAGCCAGAGGGACAGGGTGGGCAGGCTGGTTACGGAGCAAGCAAGCACTGGACCAGAACCAGGTGGAGCCCAGCCGGACCTCAGGAAACCATGGCCCCTACTCAACACGCCCTGGAAACTGCCTGCTCCTTCAGGGGTCCTGTGTGTCCTCCCCCTCTATAACAGGACTCTGATTCCACTAGGCAATACAGTATGACGCAGGCGGCCCTCCACATCCGAGTTTCTGCCCCCCACCTGTGCTCCGGCGCGGTGTACTTGAGCAGCTCGGCCAGCTGCAGCGGGTACTTGCAGATCTTCTGCACGGGCGTCAGCAGGAAGCCATCCAGCGCGATGTCGATCATCTGCTGGAGCAACCGGCAGGCCTCGAAGAAGTGGCGGTAGCGGCGCTGCTGCATCAGGCCCGCCAGCTCTGCACAGGCGCCCGGGTGGTTGTTGCAGTACTCCGAGTAGATGGCGAAGCCCTCTTGCTGGGGAGGGCGTAGAGCCACGTCAGCTCAGAAGCTCCGGGCCCCACAAGCGCGGAAAACACCAGTCTCCCAACCCCCATCCCGCACAGGGGCACCTGTAGCACAGACTCCTCCCTGTGGGAAGCGGTGGAGGGGAGGCTGCGGAGGACACAGCATCCCCCCTTCCCCCAAACCGGCCCCTTCCAAGGACCCCCAGAGGGGCCTCCCTGGGGGGCGGCACCCTCCGTGTCACCTGGGACAAGGTGGAGGTGTCAGTTTCTGCCCTGGCTGCCTCCTGCCCCCTCCTCTCCCGGGCAGGGGTTTTCTCCCGGTGACCAGGGGAACGCAGAGCCCTGCCTCGGGGTCACAGGCCTCCTTCCTGGGCTGCACCTGCTGTCCACGAGCCTACTTCCTCCCCGCTGCCCTGCAACCCAGACTCCCTGGAGGCCCCTCCTAGCCACCTCTGAGAAATTACTCCACTAACTCCAAACCCCAGAGAAGTGAGAAGACTTGAAAAAAATATAGACCTGGGGTATTTAGGTCAAGATGAACCATATAAACTAATTAACTTAATTTGCAAGTGACACCTCCATCCTATGAGAAGTTAAACAAAGAAATAAAACAGAAAGGGACCCCTCTTCTTCGCAAAGAAACATTTCTAAATTACTTAACTGGATGTGACGTTATTAATTAGAAGTAAAAGGTGACGTACGTGCTGAAGGAAGCAGGACCCTATTTCACTCAGATGAGGTTCCTCTTTATTGTACTGCTTCTCAAGGTCTTTCAAGAACTTTCTTTGAAATCTGTAAATGTCTTCAATGTTTCCGAAAATGGTGGCCAGTTGTGCCACCGAGAACATCGCTGTGTGCTTGCGACACTGTCTGATGTAGCCCTAAAACACAGGAAAGCAAACTCTTTTCTATGAATCTAGGAATTCAAAGAAATTATTTCAACAATACTGCTTTTGGGGCCCCAGAGCCATGGTCTTAGAGTGGGCTTTAAAAGAAAAAAAAAAAACATATATATATATATACACACACACACAATTTTACTTTTTATTTTTGGCTGTGCTGGGTCTTTGTTGCTGCACAAGCTTTTCTCTAGTTGCGGTGAGTGGGAGCTACTCTCGAGTCGTGGGGTGCAGGCTTCTCATTGCAGTGGCTTCTCTTATGACAGAGCATGGGCTCTAGGTGTGTGGGTTTCAGTAGTCGAGGTGCAGGGGCTAAGTTGCTCCGAAGCACGTGGGATCTTCCCGGACCAGGGAACGAACCCGTGTCGCCTGCATTGACAGGCAGATTCTTTACCACTGAGCCACCAGGAAAGCCCTAGAGTGAGTTTTAACTAGAGAAAATTATCTTAACCTGAGATAATTATGGGCTAATTATACTTCCATAGCTAAGATGTACCCTAAATACGTTAAAGACAAAAGGAAAGAGAAAACGTTAAGTGTGGTTGGATTTATAATTCAAGAAACCACAGAAAGCTTCCAGGTTATACTCATGAAACAGGTGGCTTGGTCTCAAACATCAGAGCTCAGAAATTGGTCCTGCCACACCTTCTCTAAACTCCTAAAATGCCCGGGCTCCCATCCTTAACTCCACATTACAGCCAAAAAGGCCTGCCCAGCATAGACGCATTGCTGACTGTGCCCCGTCACAGGCCAGGGCCAAGGATGGCTTAGCCGGGGCTCTGCTGGTACCCGATTTCTGCAGAAAATGACACGAACCTGGATATCTCCGACCCAAGGCTGCACTGATGACAGCCCCGCTAATTCTCTACACCCTGGATGCACGCGGGTAGGAATGGCATTAGTATGGAAAGGCCGTGGAACACCTACAGTTGTCCCCAAGTGGGCATGGTGTAACTGTACAGACTGAACTGACCATGGCAGGACAGACCACAGGCTGCAGGGTGGCGGGTCGGGTTTACACCCCAACCCCGCTTACACCTGGGCTTCCTCGTCTGCCCTCGGGGTGCATGGACCCGCCCTGAGCACTGCAGGTTCGACTTAACCCAGGGGAGGGGCAAGGCCGTGCTCAGCAGTCATCAGCAGGGGCTGTTCCTCTAAAATAAGGCTTTGCTCCCTCAAGCGTGGGTTCCCAGAAGACAAGACGGCCACACATAAGCCAAAAGCTGGGGGTCCTTATCTGGGGGTGAAGCCAACCCCACAGAGCGGGGCGCACTTGGCCTGCTTCCTCTAGGCCATCTCAGCGGACCGCAAACTGCAGGGTCCGCATTCACGGTCAGGAGGCTCGAGTGACCAGGGTGGGCACAGGACAGTCTAGCGCACTGCTGTACAGAATCCACAAAAACGGGAAATACCGCGGTGGGGGTAGGGGGTGGGCGAGACTGTTGCCAACGGGATCCCGAACACTGTAGGACAGAGCTGGGGTGTCACCAGAGGATACTGTGTCCCTGCCTGCGTCTGGGTGAGACGGACCCCGCGGGACTTCAGAGGGGGTCAGGCGGGTCTCAAAGGTGTTCCTCACAGGACGGTCAGTCGCTCTGAGTGCCCTCGGGTCTGGAGGGGGTGGCGGCACTGCACTGCCCGGGGTGGACTAGCAACTCGTGAGCCAGCGGCCGTGGGGGCGGGCGGGGCTCTGGAAACACCAGAGCTGGGATAGAGTCGGCAGGGAGAGGCCTTGGGTAAGGGGAGGGGCTGCGAGTAAGGGGAGGGGCTGCGAGTAAGGGGAGGAGCCTAGGGGTGGGGCGGGGCCGTGAGTAAGGGGAGGAGCCTAGGGGCGGGGCGGGGGCGGGGCCGCGGGTTAGGGGAAGGGCCGCGGGGCAGGGGAGGGGCGCGGGACAGGGACAGGGCCACTGCGTCGTCCAGGCCCACCTCGCAGATATCCCGGAGGTGCTTGATGTACACGCGCTCGGTGTCCATGATCTCCTGGACCACGTTGGCCCGCATCTGCTGCTTGCTCTCGGGGTGCTTGTGGCGGGCCCTACCCATGTCCTCCTCTTGCTCCTCACCGGGGCCGCCGCTGGAGCCCTCCGACAGCTCCTCCTGGTTGACGCGCAGCTGCGGCCACACGGGAGGGGCAGTCAGTGGGGGCGGCACCAGGCCCGGGTCCCCTGGTTTCCACTCCCCAGGACGGTCAGGAGGGCGGCAAGGGTCCTGAGCCCGCAGGTGCCCAGCCGAGCATTGCAAATGCAGCAGCGATGCCAGCTGCCCAGTTGACCCCCGTGGACACTGCTCCACCACCCACCTGACCGCAGAGAGGTCTGGCTCAATGGGTGATAAGGAAAGAGTGGCCCTGGCACTGCGCCTGCCCTGCCCCGCCGCTAGAAACAGGAGGACACTCACCCGTACGAAGCTGGCCGGGAACCAGGCCTCCCTGTCTGCGCTGCGGCCCCACCACCAGTCCTTGTGCGAAGCCTCCAGGACCTGGATGACGTCCCCCGCCTTGAAGCCCAGCTCCTGTTCGTCCATGGTCACGTGGTCCCATAGGGCCTCCGCGCAGACCACGCTGCCATCGCCGATCAGCTGGAACGGAGAGGTGGGCGCTCAGCACCGAGCCCGGGGGGACCCTGAGCCCCCCAGCCCCCAAGCGCCCACATGGATGATGCTCAGGCACCTGATGTCACAGGACACGATGGGGGAAAGAACCAGGGGGGCACCCTCACATGCTCTTAAAGGAACCCCTGAGCCCACTCAGTCCATAAGTCAGTCACCCAACAAGTGAGACTGTCTGGACTGTTCACCCTCCAAGGGGTTTCTGAGCCTCCAAACAGGCTCCAAATGAGCTCCCAAGGCTAGAGGGGCTGCTGCAAAGACTTTTATTAAAAAAAGGGCTAACGACGCAGAGGAGCAGAAAGAAGCCCGGAGAAAGGCGTGTTTCACTTTGGCTCTGCCACCTGCTAGCAGGTCGCTCAGCCTCTTAGCCTCCGAGTGTTTGCCAAAACGTGGACAGTATCTAACGCTCGCTGCCCACAAGGGCTGTGAGAACTTTATAAAGGTAGGCAGGGCACTGCCTGGACCGAGAAGCCCTTTCCAGGTGTCATGACGGCCTGCTGACTGGGAGGGACAGCTTTGATCGTCTGCAACACTTAATCACATAAATTGCCCTTGAAAATGCCTAACTGGAGTTCTCAGTGTTAGATTATGTTCACTAAGAAATAACCAGAGAAACAAGTAGGAGTGGATTCTAGGCCTAGACACACCAGCCGCCGCCACGTGGAACGGACCCCAGTACCTCGTTGATGGCTAGCTGCTCCCCGCCCGGCTGCAGGTATCGGGGGTTGGCCCGACACAGGTCCTCGTAGCTGAAGTCCTCCTCGCTGCCGTTGTCGTCCACTAGGGCAGACGGCTCCGCACCTCCATCGGAAGAAACTGAGAGAGAGAGCGATGGTGTGGTTTAAAGGACGCAGCTAATGGCAAACATATAAGGACAAATTCTGTGAGCTCTGAGAAAGCGTCCTCGTGGGAAAGTTGTCATTTTTTATCCTACCCAGAGTAAGAAACCATTAGAAAACGTCTACTGAGCTATCATAATCCAAAGATAGCAGCTGATGCTAGGAGGAGCCAGGGCTTCCTGTCCCAGTGGGTGGGAAGAGGACACTTCGGAGACCACTGTGGACAGTGATGTGCAGGGTTATTCCCTGAGTCAGGATACTGAGCAAACAACGTGTGATGTACTTGGAAATCTGTGTTCCAAAGTGGATGTAAAAGATGCAGTGTTTCTAAATAAGCTTGAGAAGGAAAACAAAGTTGAAATTATATATATATATATATATCTATATCTATATCTGTTCTGTTCTGTTCAGTCGCTCAGTCATGTCCGACTCTGCGAACCCATGAACTGCAGCACGCCAGGCCTCCCTGTCCATCACCAACTCCCAGAGTCCACCCAAACCCATGTCCATTGAATCGGTGATGCCATCCAACCATCTCATCCTCTGTTGTCTCCTTCTCCTCCTGCCCTCAATCTTTAAGTGTCCTGTTGCCATGTTTCCCTACAAGGCACAGTGTGTGCTGTTGAGTCAGGAGATGCTGAGGGTATCCTAAGTGGAGCCAAGCAGCTGGGCTTCCTGGTCGTCCACACAGCAAAGGCTGGGGCTCACGTGTCACAGTTAGGAGTTACCCAGCACCTTCTGAAGATGGGGGCAGCGTTCAGGACGGACCACCTGGCCACTCCGATCTCCTTTCAGGATGGCGGACTCCTCGCCAAGGCTCATCTGTCACCAAGCATCCCTGTGAGAAGGACAGGGCCTCCTGGGACAGGTGCCTGGCCCCTGACTGTGGACACATGTGGCTGCACTTGGGCACCACAACCTCGAACAAAGAGGGACTGGAGAGCAAGGAGGAGCCTGGGCAGGGGAGTGATGGGTCCCTGGCAATGCAGATAAAGAACAGGTGTTAAGAGTCGGAATTCAAGTCTGCCCACCTCCAGGCAGGGAGCCCAACCAGGCACCCTGTCTCCCTGAGCCCCAATGCTTCTGTTGTAAACAGTAGTCTCTTTCTTTTTGGAGAATTAGATGAGATAATGTGTGTCAAGTCCATAGCATCCTTGATTTGTGGTTGGAACTCGCTAACAGGAGTCACTGTGGTGAGGACATCCATGTTGGTGGGCTGGGACAAACAAGAGCGACTTGGCCACAGCTTGAAGGGGGCCGGGGGTGTGGGCAGGAGACCAGTTGCAGGAGGTGGGTCAACTGAAGCAGGAGGGACCACCATTCTCCATCAGACAGATGGCTGGAGGGCAGAGACGGGGTGTGAAATTCAAGGACATGCAGGTCCAGGTAACAAGGGGGCAACAAAGAGGATCAAGTCTACCTGGTTCAGAAAATCCCAGGTTATTGGGAGAATTAATGGGAAAGGGAGTCAGGGGAGGAGCTGTGGTGGGGGCAGGAGGAGGAAGGTTGGCTGGTGATGGCGGAGGGAGAGCCCCGATGATTCTTTCAAGGACCCATCAGTTGGCATTTCCAGTCACTTCACCCTCAGGGACAGGTCTATTTCTAAACTTAAGAAGCTGTTTTTAAAAATGAGATTTTTGAAAATTTCAACTTTTTAAAAGTAAGATATTTCCTTACTTTGTACCAAGTCTTTGTGACCTGAGTGCATCTTACATCCCCAGCCCATCCCTCTGGACAGGCCATGTTGCAGGTGCCCTGCAGACACCTGTCTATCCAGGGCCGGGCCCCAGCTCTCCTCTGCCCTTCCCTCCAACCCTGCCGCTTGCTCAGGGCACACCTCCCACGGTGCCTGCTGTGTGTGTGTGTGTGTATGCACGCACACGTGCATGTGTATGTGTGTGTGCGTGTGCCGTGTGGTCACCCCTGCCCTGTGCTGTGTCACAGTGCTCTGCGGTCTTTTCGGGGGTGTGTCCGGGAGTTGGGGAGAGGACCTGGAGGAGGCAGACACACCTGCTCTAGGCACACGAGTCTCTTATCAGACACCAGGGAGGCAGCAGTGAGCCTGCAGCCCATCTCCTACGGAGCCCTCGGGGAGCTGCCCGACCACAGCGCGGCGTTCACAGCTGACTAGGGAGGGGGACCACGCCACCCCAGGTCTGTCAGAGCCCCTCATCCTTCTCCCCTGTGATCTTAACTGCCTTTGGGATCTTAAAGCCCCTTCTAAGTCAATGGCCCCCTGTGCTTCTGTACTATGGTTCACACGTATTTCAGGGAGTCGGGTTTCTCCAGTGTCTGGACGGGAGGGGTGGGGGCACATTCTGATGCTCTGTCTGCACAGAGCAGGGTTCCTGTCACCCCACACTCCTGCCCTTGGTTTCCTGTCACCCCACACTCCTGCCTTGTGAGGGTTTCCCTTCTGAGGTCAGAACTTCTTGAGGGAACAGGCGGAGTCTATTCTTGTACCCCAGCACCCAGTGTAACCGCTGGCATGCAGAAGGCACTCAGAAATGCAGACTGCTGGTGAGGGAACTCAGGCTCCCAGGAGTTTAACTCCTCCTCTGGGGACACAAGGGTTGGTGGAGGCTGAGGACACACTCAGGTCTCTCTGCCTACCATCCCCACCACCTCCAGCCACACCTAATGCGGATCCAAGGCCGACTTCTGGAAACACAGTTCCTTCGTGTACACAAGAACCCCAGAGCAGTGACCAAATGCCTCAGTGCAGATTCCTCTGCAGGGAAGCCCCATTCCCTGCCAGCTAAATGCCCCCCTCCCCTGCAGAGCCCACCCTGCTGGGCAGACCTCCCCTAGCCTGCCCACTCACCAGTGTTGCCTTCTCACAGAGGCCTGTGTGTCACCTGCAGACCCAGGTCCACACGGGGCCTTTCCTGGAGGTTATTCTGTGACCCTCTTTCTTGTCTGGTTTTCAGTGGTGACTTTTTATTTAGGGCTGTTTTGCATGATGTGAATCTACTACTGATTCTCAAAATGCACTTCCGCAAAATTAGGAGAGATGAATACATTCTAATAATGAAAGAGGAACCTTAATTAATTAGCGTCCTTCTTTCCTTCCTTTAGTGGTAAAACACCCATAGAACAGGCCGTCCCGGCCATTTATAAGTGTACACTTCAGCAGTGTTGACTACATGCACACGGTTGTGCAACCAACCCCAGGACTTTCTCATCTTGTGAAACTTGACACTCTGGCCCCACTGAAGACTGACGCCCCCATTCCCTGGCAACGAGCCTTCCGCCTTGTTTCTGAGCTCTGAACACTTTACACCCTTCACCGAGTGATGGCCCACAGTGATTTTGTAGCGGGCATATTCCCTTCAGCACCATGTCCTCAAGGTTCACCCATATAGTTGCCTGTATCAGATTTCCTTCTACTGCACCTGATACCAAGCTTTCTTCACCCATCCAAACGTCCAGGTGTGTTTGGGGTGCTTCTGCCTCTTGAACACGGCTGTGCAAACACCTCTTCCAGGCCCTGCTCTGGATTCTCCTGGATGTGTGTTCGGAGGTGGGATGACCGGGTCATGTGGAAATTCTACTTAGCTTTCTGAGGTCCCTGTATGCTGCTCCCCACGGTGGTTGCGCTGCTCTATGTCCCAACAGGAGCACTCAGGCTTCCAAGTTCCAGGTCCTCACCAGCCGCATCATTTCTTTTATTGAATAAGTTATTTTTGTTCAGTCGCTCAGTCATGTCCAACCCTCTGTGACCCCATGGACTGCAGCATGCCAGGCTTCCCTGCCTTCACCATCTCCCTGAGTTTGCTCAAACTTGTGTCCATTGAGTCGATGATGCCATCTTAACCAACTCATCCTCTGTCATCCCCTTCTCCTCCTGTCTTCAATTTTTCCCAGCATCAAGGTCTTTTCAATGAGTCCACTCTCTGCATCAGGTGACCAAAGCATTGGAGCTTCAGCTTCAGCATCAGTCCTTCCAATGAATGTTCAGGGTTGTTGAATAAGTAGGTGTGTGAAAGTTATGTTCGAAAAGGATCTTGTGAACGGTGAGCAAAGACTGTTGAAAACTGAAATGGAAACCTCGACCCCTGAGACAGAGGAATCTGAGATGGGACATGCTCGCTCCTCTGTCCACTGCGCCCTCACAGCTGCGGCCACGCCCAGAGAGGACGTCCTTTGGGTCTAAAAGACCTGCACACTCATGACAGCACACATGCCTGCAGGGACAACTCTGGGACAGTGGAGCAATCATGTGCAAACATTCTACACGCACGTAATGTGAACTACCCATGCTTGCTTAATGGTCACAGTCAACGTCCCCTGGAAAGGCAGGCATCCCAGGACTCCAGGGGCTGCGCCAGGCGGACCACCTCCCCCCTCACCTGCCCATCCCTCACACAGTCTCATCCTAAGATTCAGACCCGAATTCTTGCCTCCCCCAGGCTCTGCTTGCTTCGTGCATGCACCGATCTGAGGAAACCCCATCCACCCTTCCAGTCCTGGCCCAGCTCGGCTTCAGGAACATCCAGAGAGACCACTGTGGCCAAAGCGGACGTGCCTTCGTAGTCAGGACTGCTGCAAACACGGTAGAGACCATGTGAGCTTATACACAAACGCCAATGAAGAGCAGTGTCCACACCCCCCCGGGAGGGTGACAACTTCTGTCCTGACCTGGATTTCACGTCTGTGAGGAACAAAACCTGGCAACGGGCCCTCCAGGCGAGTTTTCAGGACAGGACATGCCACTACCACCACCGATGGAGAAGCTCGGACTGTAATACGCGCCAAGGACAAGGCCCTCCCACAGGACCCCAAGTCCCCCTCACAGCACACAGGCCCCCAGCCCCTGTCCCAGGGGGAGTTCTTCTCAGGACACAGGTCTCTCCCATCTGGCCTAATTTTGCAGATTTAAGGGCTTTTGCTTAGAGTGACAGAATTTCAAAAGCACAAGAGCTTGCTGGGGTCCCAGCCAGGCCCTGGCCCGAACTTCCCCGAGACTGCCTTTCT